CGGAAACATCGAGTTTTAGGTTCTGAACATGATCAGTCGATCAAACGAGGAAGACAGTTGGGAATCACGCATTGTTACGGGGACTTTCCAAGCTCTAGATTAACAAAATAAAGGTTTCAATTGATGAGTGTTCCAACTATGTTTCAACTTCAATAAAATAGGCTACATGATAGTGTTGGGAAAGCATTAAGAACAGTTAAACAAGCTTGCTTGACTGCATGCCTACTTTAATGCACACTTTTCAAAAATTTGCGATTGACAGAATATGCGACAACTAACATTTCAAGTAACCACATAATCATTTTTCTACAAAGTGTCAAAGGCGAGGACAAACGAGAACTTTAAATTCTACGTGCACGAATTTTTAATTGCGACCCGCCAAAAAAGGATTGCGTTTCGAATTTACATAACCGGTATACATTTTGAAAACTTTGTAGTTTTATACACGATCCTTATGAGTTTTAAAGTGGCGAGACGGTTGGATCCAAATTTTCTCGATATCCCACTTCCCAGCATTTTTAAGCCAAATCCCAGTCCTAAATGTGAAAGAAAATTCGTGAGCAGGTGATGACTTTCATGACATATGATGACTTTCAAAAAGGCAATTCTGCTTGTTTATTTTAGAACTCGTTTTGCGGAGGAGAATGTAAATTATTGACTTGCAATAGCAGAAAACCCTTTGGCCTTTTTGACAAGATTTAGCCGAGTTATTAATAGTAATATATATTTTTATGATATAGTAGAGAGTGAGATACTGAGAAATACACAGTGACATATTTTCCATATCTTCACTAGTTAAGATGTCGATCACGTGACTTTTAGTATTTATACAATTTTTTGCTTGGGACTATATAAATAAACAGATATTACACGGTGGCTTGAAAATATGAATTTTATCTTCTCGTGTTAAAAACAATATTTTACTCACTCGCTGCGCTCGTTCGTAAAATATTGTTTTTACCACTCGGAGATAAAAAGTCATATCTTCGCGCCGCCGTGTAATATCCTCTATGTATCAAAGTTTATCGAAAGCCTACACAAGTAACATAGGCTTTTCGGTACACAGATGTCCAAGGCAAATTATATAGAAATAATAAAATAGTCATATCTAGACAAAACGTTCAGTAAGTTCGGATTGCCAGATATTTAAATCATTAATATAGATTTAAATATATTTAATTTATTCTAATTATTGCAATCCGAATTTTCTGAACGTTTTGTTTAGATATTAATATTTTATAATTCCTAAATAATTAGTCATTAGTCTTGGACATCTGTGCACCGAGAAGCCTATATTACTTGTGTAAGCTTCCGATAAACTTTTATACAAATATATATTACCATTAATAACTTGGCTAATTCTTGTCAAAAAGCTAAAGGGTTTTTCTGCTATTGAGAAATATAGGTTTTCGGATCGTCGGATTTCACAGAAAAACTGAATTGTCCGGATTTCAGATCTGGTGAATGTTTTACACGGATTTCGGATCTTATTAATGCAGCAGATTGCGGATTTATCTAATATTTTGGCTCGGATCGCGGATTTGTGTACCCCTATTCACCCCCCCCCCCTCCCAGTCAATAATTTACATTGTTCTGGGCAAAACTAGTTCTAAAGAGAGCAATTGAAGCAGAATTGCGTTTAAAAAGTCATCATATATATATATATATATATATATATATATATATATATATATATATATATATATATATATATAAATATATAGATGATCGTTTTATTCAACATCACTTCCAGACATGACTAGATTGCTGAAGCAACGAGCACATGCTGGTATGTCCTTACTTTCATTTGACGGAATTTGGACGCTAAACTTAAATATATTCCATCTGGAGGACATCATATCATTCTCACGCTCGTCACGGCTATTATATTTCCCCCAAAACTCAATCGGCCACTTACTGGTAGCGAATATTGGGATGGTGTTTTCTCGTGGAATACACAAATCAGTGGCAAACATATTCTTTGGCCTTGGAAGATGAACTGTCTGCCCTTCCAGTAGCAACAAAAAGTCACTCCACTCGATCAATTCTGGTGACCATCGAAAATCATTCAAGTATGCGACCTCACATTCCTCTAATCCAACCCAAGCATACTTTCCCGTAGCAGGATTTATGAACGTTTTGTATATTAACTCCAGAGGATTGAGAAGAAATGACTTTCCACAATTCGTGGGACCAATGAGCAAAACGTTCAATCGCTTCTGTCTTCCCCTCTCAAGAAGCTGACGCAAGGCTGAAGCAAAGTAATATAAATTAATTCCATTTTGATGTAGAACTTGTTTTGCACACAGCAACCACTCTCCGTTGCACAAAGGTAAACATTCGCTTTCGAGATGAGTTCTAAGGATTGATATTCTTGATTCTTTCGCTCTTTGGACATTTTTGGAAGCGTCATTCATTTTCCAAGTCATGTCCAAGAGTTCTGATAGAGACTTTGAAGATTTGTTTATGATAAATTTGTACAAATCCTTTTCGCCCTCAGAATGACGAGTTTTTGCAACGACCATTATCTCACTATCGCTTCTAATATCATTTGCGACAATAAATTCAGAAACATCGATGTTGGATAACTTCTTGGGTTTCGAAGAACTTGGTAGGTTTTCCTTAATTTTCTCATTGTTAGTTGGTGCTGAGATTCTCCTTTTCGTCGCGTTATCAGAAAACTGTGTGAAAGCACGTTTGGTTTTTGGTGAGCCAATTTCTTGTAAATTTGGGTGGCCAGGGCTGTGTAATACGTCGGTGAATGACTTGTTCTTGCAGACGTATTTGTAGGCGACATGGTAACCACATGATTGGTCGAAAAAATGCAAGGCAATTCCATGCTTTTTGCTTACATAATTTTTCACGGCTTTCCACCGCCTTGGTGCACTTAGTTTGATAGCCAAGTGGTAATGCTTTCCCCCATCTCTATGTTCCTCCATGCAGCATGACCAGTGTTCTGGATGGTTCGTATTATCCTTTTGATTTCCTTGTGATTGTGAAAATGCCTCAAGAATACAATCTGAAAACGCCTGGCAATTTGCTATTTCCCCAAATCTGCCTGGGAATAAGTGATCAGATAAACACGACGAGTTTGTCTTTCACCGAGCGCCTGACCAAAATCGCTTTCGACAGCGTTATTTTCCATGGTAAACACACTTGAATGACTTGACCAGGTAAGATAAATAAAGAGAAAAGCGATCAGCTTCAGAATTTCGCGCCTTTCGATTTTTGGGACCCAGGCTTAAATCGCGCAGTACCGGAAGTTGTCAATTTCAAAACAAATCAATCTACCTCTGTATTATAGTTTGTAGTATTTTTACTATACAGAGCATTTTAATACACGGCTTGTAGGAAGTTTACATCCTGAAAATTATCCTGTTGTTGTGATTATAAGAGACTACAAAAACGAAATCATAATATGAAGGTATGTTTTGCATTTAATATTTTATGTCAAACAACAAGAATGGCGAACAATATAATGATGTTGGTTAGACGTTTTATACTATCTTGTATCTACATAATTTATAAATGTTTAATACAATCAAACGATACGTTCGAATGCTAAATAGTATATTTTATAAACCTCATCGTTCATGACCGACGACAACACCTTGGAATATGTACAGCAAAACCTCCATAAAAATTTTAAATAATCTATTATTTGCGTCCAAATTCTTATTTAAATACAGTGCGGAATTACAATTGTTTATTTCTTGCGTCATAATACTTAATCTTTTAACCGCACATCAACATACCGCATGCGCGAGTGTCATCGGTGGAATTGTTTGAACATTTTCAGACGTCGATGGCTAATAAGAAAAAATACAATCTTGGACAAAATATTTTGGCAAAACTTATTTAATCTTATTCTTTCTTGTTCTGTTGTCTTATTTCCCGTCATATAGGTAGATGTCTACTTTATATCAAATCTTAGGCACTCTCGTCCCTCCCCCTATATCAATGTTGCTATTTTCGGTTAAATCTTCAGGGAAAAACAGGTGTATTGGCGCAAACAACATTGATATTGGGGGAAGGGAAATAGAATGACTTTTTTGCCATATATTTTGTCCAGGATTGTAGATATTACAATGTTAGTATTACGAGATTCTTCGTTTATCTGGGAACCTAGGTTTCCAATGCCTTCGGCAACTTGCTTGGGTGACAAGTTCATTAAATCGTTAGTGCCTACATGGAGTACTATTGATTCTGATTCTTTACGGATAATAGGCTTCAAATAGTCTTCCATATCATCAATAGTAGCACCCGCAAAGCTCTTGACCACTACATGGTTGTTGGTGTCAGATAATCTCCAGCCTTGCAAGTTTTTTACAATAGAATCTCCAGCTATGACATTTACTTTTTTCTTAGGTTTAGCCTTGTCATTATTATTGTTATGGCCGCCAACGCTTTGATTGTGGCCGCCAATGCTTTGATCATGGGCAATAACGCTTTGATCATTATGGTAATTGCCGTGGTTAGGTCGAATGCTAATCTCAGCATTGTCAGGACAAGTGACATAACATTTGCTTCATATGATTACAATAAAATTTTTTGAAAATTTGATGAGTATGGATTGAATTAACAGGTGACAGTTTACTAAATAGCCGGCTGTATAGACACTTTGAATATTGTTTGTATAAAATTTTTATTTCCTGACTGCATAACTATCTGTTACAATCATAATCACATTATAAAGTTGGTTAAATTTTCTCGGTGCGGGCGTGGGGGTGGGGGGTGGGGAGCACTTGCCCTGCCGCCCTTCCGCTGTGTACAGCCCTGTTTATATCTTATCTGCTATTTTATCTTATCTGCTATTATAATAAGTGATGAAATATTTCAATTGTCCCATGTCACCTTCATTATTCAGTTCCTTTCAAGAATGATCCCGCTTTGCCAGGAAGTATACAGTTATTTCAATTAAGGTTGTCCGAGCAAAGCGGAAAAGTCGAATACGAGCGCGAAAGGCTGCTGGGAATCGCTAATAAATTCATTCATTTATTAGCGATTCCCAACAGCCTTTCGCGCTCGTATTCGACTTTTCCGCTTTGCTCGGGGGACAACCTTAATTGAAAATAGCTGTATGGGGCAGGATGATTTCGAATTCGATGTGTTGAAATAAGTTACGGTATTATTTTCTAGAGATGGATTATAATTAACTGTAAATGAAAGGTTGTTCAAGCATAATAACCTCCTTGAACCACAAGATCTTCTCAACAACAACAACAACAGTTCACACTGAAAAGCTACGCCTTCTCAACACCACTGCCTTCGCAACCATCGGTATTGGACGTGACCGTTTTTATAAACTGAAAGTTTACTTTAAATCAAAGATAAGTCGTTACCCCAGTTCATCGTCAACTTTTCAACATAGTCGCATATGTGTCAGCGGAGACATTAACCCGAAACCAGGACCAACCAACTTCACAGTACAAACTCGTAATGAAAAGGAAAACAACGTGAAAATTCAAGAATAGGGAACACTTTATTAAATTTTAAAGAGACCGTTTTGAAGAATAAATTTGACGTTTTCACTATATCCGAAACTTGGTTAAAACAACTCTGTGACCAACTTGGAGCTTGAATCCCTGGATACAAAATATTTCGTGTTGATAGAAACAACAAAGACGGCTGTGGAGTATGTGTTTATGTTTTGAACACTTATAAAACCGAGTTTCTCCGAGATATTTCAACCATTTCAGGCAGTGAATTGCATCAACTTTGGATAAAGGTTCAAGTCAGAAATTCAAAGTCTATCGTAATTTGCACTATATATAAACCCCCTGATTGATGTTCATGCAAACTGTTTTGATACTGACAGGATTCCGAGTTTCATTACAGCCTCCCTATTGGGTAAACCTATCATGCTTAAATTCGTCTGTATTTATTAACTTTTGCAGTTGTTTTAACCTGACTCAGATGATTAAATCTCCAACCCGCGTAACTCAAAACTCAGAGTCGTTAATTAATGTTATTCTAGCAAACTAAGGTGTTACATTGCTCCATAAGCGACCATGATTTAGTTTACGCAGTCCTAAGATTGAAGAAAGAGCGCTCTAAGCCAGTATATATCACAACAAGGAGCTTCAAAAGCTACAACAAGAGTCAGTGAATTTTGCGCTGATATATTACAAGCACCATGGTCTATCACAGACGTTTTCGATGATGCCGAAGACAAATTGTATGCTTTCAACTCGTTGTTCAATAATATTCTAGATAAACATGCCCCAATGAAAACTATAGAACTTAAAGGAAAACCGAATTGTTGTGTAACAGAAGAAATCAGAGAACTCATGAAAACCAGGGATGAGTGGAAGAAAACGGCAAGGAAAACAAACGACCCTTTTGCATGGTCGGCCTTTAAAAATTTCAGGCGAGAGGTAAAGCGACGTATAAGATTTTCGGAGAGAGAATATGTAAGAAAACAGATTAAAAGTAACAGAAACAATACCAACTCCATATGGAAATCTATGCAATCGTGTATACCGAAAAAATCAGCCACTCATACAGTCTATAGTAAAGATCATAAAACTATTGCTGATGAATTTATGAGTTATTTGCCAGTACTGGTCAAAATACGGTTAAAAATTGAAAAAAAGGCCGCTGATGAAAATTATGACATAAATGAAAACCCTTTTAAACCATGTGAACAATTTTCCTTTTCCGCTGTTGAACGTGAAGAAGTTGAATCTATTATTATGTCAATGGCACCAAACAAAGCTCCTGGGAACGATAAAGTTCCGATACATGTAATCAAAACTTGCTTGACTGTAATTTCACCTACCATCACTTCAATTATCAATGCTTCACTATTAACCTCTAGTTTTCCGAGCGTATGGAAAAACGCCGAAGTTGTTCCTATCCACAAGAGTGGTGATCATGAGATCGCAAATAATAATAGACCTATATCATTATTGCCACAAAGTTCTGCGAACGAGCAGCTTATAATCAGTTTTCGACCTACCTTCTCTTGAATGATCGTTTATTGTCTAAACAAAGTGGAAACAAGCATCTACACTCAACAGAAACTTCGGTAATTCAGACTACACCCAGCCGACGCAAGATTGTATACATTCTCAGTTGGAAAAAACGAGGATAATAATTCTGATCTAAATTCCAATGTTGGAAATGATGTGAAAATAATCAATAAGTTAGTCACTTGTATTAGAGCGAATATTTGCTGCATGCATTGCATGTACTGGAACTAAAACTATCTTCAAAACGTCATAAAATGAGCAATTAGAGAACGGGAACGTCTGATTTACCCGAAATAAATCATGATGAAATAAGAAAATCATAATTATGATATTTTTGCGGTGAGAGACGTACAGATGTTTTTTAAATGCTAGATACATGAGAGGATACATACCAACACATCTCGCTCCATCAAAAGTGTAACCTTTCTTGCACAAACATTCCACACCTGCATCTTTCGAATGTCTACAGTTGTGTTTATTCCATCCACTATGAGAGCAATCCCAAATGTATGATTCCTTACCATTGCATCCAATATCACCAAGCAAGATAGGACCACTTCCTTCACCATAATAAGCTCGATCTCTTTCCGCATTCGCTCCAGTGAAACCCAGCTGACGGCAGACAACATCACTGTCGGTAATATCCCAGGAATCATCACAGACTGTACCCCAGCCGAAGTTTGGATGGAAGATCTCCACTCGTCCACTGATATTGTTACCTGAACCATTCAGTCTTATTTGTAGATCAGCAATTTCTGTAAATAGAAATGATACACAAATAAAGAAGAAAAAATAGAGGATGCGTAGCCAGGTTGAAACATAATTTATTTATTGAACGTTCTCTGACTAAATATTTAATTCTACGAGCTTTAGGCTATCAGTCTATAGCCTTCGACAGATGTATACAAATGATTCTATAAAGGACGCTAAACTTAAATAGGTGGTATGAAATATGAGACTATCTATGCTATGTTACAAATGAGGAATATAAATATTTAATTAATGTTTGTTGAGTTCCTTTCTTAAAAGTATTGTGTATTGTGCTGGAAGCGTATTAGAGTTATTAGCAGCTTCGTCTGTTAGTGCAGTGTACCAGGACTCTAAGGTTTTAAGGTTCCTATGATTTCCCTTGTCTATTACTTTAGCATTGGCAAAGTCAATTATATGATCTTGAGTCCATGCGTGTTTCGCGACATTCCATTCAAGAAAGGAACTCAAGAAACATTAATTAAATATTTATATTCCTCATTTGTAACATAGCATAGATAGTCCCATATTTCATACCACCTATTTAAGTTTAGCGTCCTTTATAGAATCATTTGTATACACCAGTCGAAGACTATAGACTGATAGACGAAAGCTTGTAGAAATAAATATTTGGTCACCGAACGTTCAATAAATAAATTAAATAAAGAAGAGTTTGATGTTGCGTTTTATAATTTAATCACGTAGATAGAACCCATCATCATTCCGCCTAAAACCCATCAGCCGATTCATCCAATGTGCAATTTGCTGAATAAGGGTCTGTTTATATGATCCCGCTTTGCCAGGAAGTATACAGTTATTTCAATTAAGGTTGTCCGAGCAAAGCGAAAAAGTCGAATACGAGCGCGAAAGGCTGCTGGGAATCGCTAATAAATTCATTCATTTATTAGCGATTCCCAACAGCCTTTCGCGCTCGTATTCGACTTTTCCGCTTTGCTCGGGGGATAACCTTAATTGAAAATAGCTGTATGGGGCAGGATGATTTCGAATTCGATGTGTTGAAATAAGTCACGGTATTATTTTCTAGAGATGGATAATAATTAACTGTAAATGAAAGGTTGTTCAAGCATAATAACCTTCTTGAACCACAAGATCTTCTCAACAACAACAACAACAACAACAACAACAACAACAACAACAACAACAACAACAACAACAACAACAACAACAACAACAACAACAACAACAACAACAACAACAAGTAATATTATTAAGTTAAAGAGTACACGCTACCTAAAATAACCATAAGGGCTAGTAAAGTTTGGCAGCGATAGAACATTTGGGATCAGTTAACCAGCATTTGAACTTTCATTTACCTGGTGATTAATACTTCAATATTTACATCAAAATCGTCCTGCTTACATCATGCGAACTGCCCCTAAGACGCCTGTTCAGGAGGTAGGAAAAGTTCAATTTGAATATCCTGAAACACCTTGCAAAAAGTCAAGGGTCGGCTAAATGTTCGCATTGTACTTTCTTAGCACGGGCAGTTTTATATGGATATCTTCAATGCTTATAACTTCTTGCTTTTGTATGTATAATTATAATACTGTCAGTGGTGAAGCTAGCCATAGCAACAAGTAATGCTATGCAAGTTTTTAATGATTTGCATTATTCAAATAGATGCAGGTTGATAGCATTGCATAGCCAGTTGCCATAGCTAGCTTGTCACTGAATACTGTACAATGTTTATATAAAAATACTAAGTCGGGTATTGTTCAAATTATTGTTTTAACGCCACCTTCAAGGCTGCCCATATCACAGAACAACCGATTAATATGTCAGCTTCAAATGACACCATTCATTGTAATGATTAAGATTGTACTCAGTCAGAACTGCAGAACTATATTAATAGAACTATAAAAAAATACAGTATACTCTGAAATGTAGTAACACAGCCAGATAAATATATGAATATATGCCGGTAGGATTATTTTATATTGTGCTAACAATGGACATATCTCAGAGGCCTTTATATACAAATTAATCAGTTGACATACTATTTAGTCTATTACATGTAATTGCTGGTAATTAGTCAATGGACAATATGTCCAGACAACAATCCACACTGGGTTGCTCTAGGAATCTTATTACAGTAAGACCACGTTTACACGGTACCGGACGAATTTGTGACCGGACGAAAATTCGTCCGTTTCGGCCGTGTAAACACACGAGAACAACGGAACCGGACGAATTTGAGACCCCCTAACAGGACGAATTCGCGTGTAAAAAGGCGAAAAAGGACGAATTTCTAAGTCTGGTTTAACAACATTCTGCGTTTGTTTTTAAACTATAAATATCTAGAAAATGAACACTATATAAACTCATCGTCTTGGTTGGCTTGGCACATAACAAACAAATTAATAAAACTTTAAAGTACATACTGTACATTTTGACTCCTTGTATAAATAAGGCATTATTGACGAATAGATCGGGTGGGCTATTATTAAACTGCCCGTAAATTCATGAAATCATGTTGTTTCAATACCTCAGAGCTCCTACAGTTGATTTAACGAAACTTTGGCCGCGCCAGTTGCGAGGTTGGTTGGGAATTTGGGAACTATAAACACGAAATCACCATGTTGATTGGAAACCGGCCGATCAAATTCGGAAGTTTCGCATCAAATTATCGAAGTTACGTCGAAGGCTATCAGTCTATAGCCTTCGACGGGTGTATACAAATGATTCTATAAAAGACGCTAAAATTAAGTAGGTGGTATGAAATCTGAGACTATCTATGCTATGTTACAAATCGGTAATATGAATATTTAACTAATTAATGTTTCTTGAGTTCCTTTCTTAAAAGTATTGTGTACTGTGCCGGAAGCATATTAGAGTTATTATCAGCTTTGTTTGTTAGTGCAGTGTGCCAGGACTCTAAGGTTTTTAAGGTTTCTATGATTTCCCTTGTCTATTACTTTAGCATTGGCAAAGTCAATTACATGATCTTGAGTCCATGCGTGTTTTGCAACATTCGATCCCTTCTTGCTGTGTTTTACATTCCTTACATGTTCAGACTTTCTCGTGTTCAGGGATCTTCCTGTTTCGCCTATGTAACTCCAACTACAATCTTGACATGGTATTTGGTAGACCACGTTCTTTTGCTCTTCAATTGGTGGTTTCTGTTTTGCAGATGGGAACTGGCGTTCGAGGGTTTTCACGGGCTTATTGTAAACTCTGATGTCATGTTTTTGCAGTGTTCTGGCTAGGGATTCAGTTAGTCCTTTGATGTAAGGTAGAACCACAATTCCTGCAGGTGGTGTCTTTCCTTCGACTAATTCGAAAAATGATAGACTAACTCTTCAGGGCTTACTACAGTTTTGTTCTTACGTTTTTTGATCAATCCTGAAATTAGTTTCTTTGGATAGCCATTTGATGCCAGAAATGTGGTTACGTGATTCAGTTGTCTTTCTTTGCTTTCATCAGTGGTAGGAAGTGACAAGGATCGGTTGATAAGTGTTGTTGCAGTACTAATTTTATGTTTTTGGTCGTGGTGTGATAAGTAGTTTAGGTAACGGTCTGTGTGAGTGGGTTTGCGGTAAACGTCAATAGAAATAAGCCGTCCCTTCTAGAAATTAACGTGTCAAGGAAAGCGATCTTTCCGTCCTTTTCGTTTTCAATAGTGAAGTTAATGTGTGGGTCAATGGAGTTTAGTGTATCATGAAAAGATGATATGTTAGTCTTTTTTATTATGGAATGAATGTAAAACACAGCAAGAAGGAATCGAATGTTGCAAAACACGCATGGACTCAAGATCATGTAATTGACTTTGCCAATGCTAAAGTGATAGACAAGGGAAATCATAGAAACCTTAAAACCTTAGAGTCCTGGCACACTGCACTAACAAACAAAGCTGATAATAACTCTAATACGCTTCCAGCACAGTACACAATACAGTGGCGTGCTGGCAGGGGAGGCCGGGGGGCCAGGTCCCCCCCCAGCTGGCAATTTTTGGGGGGGCGCAAAAATGAAAAGGGTGCGCCGATCCTGCGCCCAATTTTGAAAGTGGGTGGGAAAAAAACGCATTTGAAAAACTATAGTTACTTCCACCAAGAAAAAATGTGTTATAGGCTTATAAACAGACTGAGCGCATAGGCGACAAAGTGATATATTAAATTACAGACTATTTTGTCTAACCAGCCAGTATTGCTACCTCACACGAAATCGTTCATATAGAAACATGATCAGTGATCACACGCAATGTCGCATTACCGGAATATTGGCCAGGTTTCGAAGCGATCACGGGAATTATGCCCTTTTTTTGCTTGTATTATGCCCTTATATTATGCCTTTATATTGCTTCACGAATCACGAGAGCGGCGCAAATTAGATAGTTATGATAATGTAAAGTTGTGTACGCAATTTAGTTGTTTGAACAAGAAACATCGTAACTCATCGAGTAATGTAAGTAGTAAGATAATGCTGAAACGCGCGCCCTTTTGGCAGCCAGGCAAGGAAACCTTAAACGGCATGGTGTACCACTGACATCGACTCGCACCGATGTGCAGATGAACTGCTCAACTTTGCAGAATCTTTTCAAAAATCGAAGTGTTCAGTGATTTTTCATGAAGACCGAAAGAAGAAGAGAAAGATTCTGATCTAGACTCCGGTTCTGAATCTGAAACCGAAGACTACAAAGAAGAAACCGACAGCGAGTCAAGCGACGACGGAACTGCTGAAGAACCAAAGGACAAGGATAAACAATGATTTCTCGAAGCTCTGAGAATTTTGTCGAATCCTGATTACCACCTAGTTGATGTATTTCCAACTCTTTGTAAAGTTTACGCGATTGCAGTTGCAATTCCAATCAAATTCGCACACGTTCGTCTTTATCTCAAGAAAAACTTGAAGCATTGCTACTTATGACCGGCACTGAACGGAAGATTTTAATGTCTTTGAAAAAGGAGCAGATTATTACCGCCTTGGAGATCTGACATCAGAATTGTCGAAGGCGCTTATATGAAAATGTTTAGAAATGCTATAGAAATCGACAATGGTTATTGAAACATTAAAGACATTGGAGAACATCGATCGATCGATATGGACAATACTTGACGTTATCAACATTCGATACAACACGTGAAAAATACTAACTATCAAGTGATATACTGTATAGCATTTTAAAACTCTTTTTGTATGTTTTGACAAAAAACATGACAGCTTCGTATGAATAAAGTGCAAGTACACCGTTTTAGTAAAACATTACAAGTTATTAGTGAGATCGGCGTTTATTATAAGTCAAAATATTTTATACAAATATACTCAACGAGTGACTTTATTCCTCCACAATTAATCTAAAATAAAGATTTATAGTAAAACTGATACCGTACCAATTTAAGTTCCTCTACGGAAATTCTAACCAAATTGCAAATTTCGACTCGTTATAATCTCGTTTTCTGACCATCAGATTTCCGTCAAATCTTCCCCCCAAAGTCCAGGAAATGGCATTTCAGACACTCTAAATTTAAAAATTTTCCGGGGGGCATGCCCCCGGATCCCCCTAGGAACACCTCGCACCTGCGGCGCTCGGCTCGTGCCTTCGGCCCTCGTTTATCAAGCGTCACATTATAGGGGCGCATATTGGTTGATAGCCCACTGGCCCCCCCAGAAAAATAGTATCCAGCACGCCACTGACACAATACTAACTTTTAAGAAAGGAACTCAAGAAACATTAATTAGTTAAATATTCATATTAGAAATTTGTAACATAGCATAGATAGTCTCAGATTTCATACCACCTACTTAATTTTAGCGTCCTTTATAGAATCATTTGTATACGCCCGTCGAAGGCTATAGACTGATAGCCGAAAGCTCGTAGAAATAAATATTAAGTCAGAGAACGCTCAATAAAGAAAATTTCTTTGTTATTGACCAGATGTAAATTTTCACTATTTTCTTGATTTTGCATATTTATATTGGAATCATCCGCCTAGTATTAGGTAAATTGCTTCTGCTCTCATTATGAATAAGCCAATTATGATTTCTATTGTGTTGGCATTGTTCTTGTTCATGACGTTCACAGTCTGTATGCACCTTTGTTTGTTCCAAAACACTCACCAGAAATTCTTTAAACATGTCTCCATCCTTTTCGTGGAACAATAAGGAGTTTAGTTTGCCCGGATACCAAGTCATAGTAAGATCACGGTTTTGACTTTTGAATTGTTTATAATAATAATAATAATAATAATAATAATAATGAAAACTTTATTTAATGTTTTTCTTTACATACATATACAATCGTAAATCTCTCTCATAAAGGTAACTTACGGTTGGCTATTTGAATCACACAATACTAATCTAAAATAACAGAACAAAGTGCATGCAATATTATATACAATCAGATAAGTCAAATTGTTAGTAAATCCGGATTTTCCCATTCTTTATTTCGGCAGCAAAAAGTGTAATATGTAGTTCTAATAGCAATAGTCATCATTTTCTTAACGTAGTACATTTGGTGGTTTTTGTCAAGACCAATACTTTCTAACATGTCTAAAAATGTAGAACATTCTTCTGCAAAAATACCTAAAGAGCTGATAGAGAGATTTATGAATTTAACTTGGTTAAAATTTTTACCTAGCTGTCTCAATAATTCTCTATATTTATCCTTCTTCCGTTTTACGTTGTTTTTCAGGTTTGTCTCATAACCAGTGGTGAGTTCGACCACATATAAGGAACCATTTGAGCACGATAATAACAAATCTGGGCGATACGTATCACCAGTAAGTATTGAAGGGCTTTTGAATCCATGTAGATCATCGTAGAGAGTAGAACCGTCAACAGTTTGTAAAGTATTAGCAAAAACGTTCAGGACTGAATTGTGTCTCCACGTAAATCGGTCGAGATAAAACAGACATCCAGCTACTATGTGTAGTAATGTTTCAGGGCTTAGACAAAAAGAACAGTCTGCATTTGAAGATATTGCCCATCTGTTTAGGTTTTTGCGCGTCGGAAGAGAGTTGTTAATGTAACGAATGGTAAAGTTGCAAATGTTTTTCGGGAGCTTTGATTGGGCGATGGACCACACCTTGTTAAGCTGGGGTAAAGCGAACTTTGTGACGCTGCAGAAAAAGGATCCTTGACTGGTTAATTGGTTCAGGAGTTTGTTTTCGTGTCCAGAACGAAAATCTTTGAGAACTTCCTTAGCAGAGCTATAAGCGTCATATTGGATATTAGTATGGTTACTGGTTGTTTTCCACAGGTCGTTAGTTGATTCATTAGGAGAAGATTTTAAAGCTTTTCGGAGGATTCTTTGACACTGGATAAATTTTACAGATGGAGGATAAATACTCAGGCCAAATTTGTTATTTGTTAGAAAGACAGTACTTAGGGCTGCTGATATTGGTACATCAAGCCATCTGCGGATATATTTGTTGGCAATAGAGTCGATATTTTCAGTAACCCATGTTTTAGAGAGTGTTGCGACGGTGAAGTGCCAGGCTAACTTGGACAAGACGTAGCGACTGTAGAGGAGCAGTTTATTTTTGGGATGCAGTGGCTTTGAGTCAATATCAGTCATTAGTTCATTAAGTAGGGTGGTTAGTTCAGTTTTATGATTATCATTCGACATGTGAAAATCAAAGTAACGTCCTAAATATTGAAATGATTCTCCAATAGGGATTTTTGGTATTAGTTGATTGCCGATGAGGAGTTTTGGCAAGTACTGAACTGATTTTGTGATGGCTTTTTTAATGCCAATGGTCTTGCATTTGTCAACTCGGATAATCATATCGGACCATTGGCACCAGATAGAAAATCGATTTAATAGATGTTGGTTTTCGAATTCTTGGCCAGTAATTACAGCCGCGTCATCAGCAAACTGGAACCAGTGGATGGGATTTAGTAATTTGAAGGAAAACCCAAATTGACGGTATTTTTCAGCTTTGAAATGCTGAACGAATGTATTGAAGCACATGTTAAAAAGAAGAGGACTGAGGCAATCTCCTTGCAATACGCCACGGCCAACTGTCATAAAAGGAGTGCGGAATTCAGAGGTAATTATCGAGGTTTGGAAATCAGTATATAAACTTTTTATAACAAATTTTATATGATCAGGGATATGGTGGTAGTCAAGTACGGATTGGCTACAATTGACTACTTGAATCACTTATACATGCATGGTTATAATTTTATATACAAAAATTGCTACTTATTTTCAGAAATAGTTACTTTAAATGTTCATTAGTTCGGGATTTGTCCATTCTTTATTTCTACAGCAAAATATGTAGTACGTTGATCGGATGGCAATAGATATAATTTTTCTGATACAATATTGTTGGTGTTGATTATCCAGTCCTAACTCATTTAGCATTTTTACGAATGTATGACATTCTTTGTCAAACACCCCTAGCGAACTGACAGAAAGATTTATAAATTTAACAGATGTAAAGTTTTGATTCAGTTCTCTAATTAGGTTTTTATATTTAGCTTTTTGTGGTTAACATTGTTTGTGAGGTTTGATTCAAAGCCTACGGTAAGTTCAACAACGTAGAGCAACAA